TGATGCCTCCCTCACACCCTTTAATCTTCTTGCCTTTCTAAACATTTACAAAGTTAGGATAAAACAGGATGCAGTGGGGAACTGTTCACAGTGGAAAGCCAGGTAAAAAAAAGAAAACTAGAATATCTAATTTTCCAATTGGATGAAAACTTGCTTAAACTAGCAGCAATCCCAGCTGCCTTACTAAGGCATCACTCTGAAGCAGGCAATATGCTACATTCTTTTCACATGCTATCTGCACAAAAACCATAAGAGTAGCAAGTTATTATTCTGCTTTCACAAGACAAGGAAACTGAGATTCAAAGATGCTAACTGACTCTCCCACAGAAATCAGGGCTCTCAGACTCCTACGGTTATGAGTCTTTGTGTCCCCCATAAAACCCATGTGTTGAAAAACTACCTCCCTATGACGCTGGTATTAAGAGAAAGTCTATTTAGAAGGTGATTAGGTCCTAAGGATGGTTATAAAGGAGGCTCCAGGGCACATGCTTGCTGTACCCACCAGATCAGGACCACAGAAGGTCTACGTGTGAGAAATAGGTCCTTGCCAGACACTGAATAACCTGTTACCTTGATCTTGAATTTTCCAGCTTTCAGAACGGTGAGCCATAAATCTCTGTTGTTTATAAACTAGCCAGTTTTGAGTTTCATGTTATAGTAGCCAAAGGAACTAACACCTCTGTTTCAGTGTCCCTGGAGCCTGTACTGTCCACTCTGTATCTTAATGGTGCCTTTTCTCAAAGTTCTGGAGGCCCATGCTCTTGACTGAGAAAAAGACCGTTCAGTAAAAGCTAAGTTAACGAGAACATCGGTCACGGGAGCCTTTTAGCTTTAGTATATTCACACAACCATCATCCTTAGCCTTAAGTGGCCCCTAAGGTTGGAACTCAACAATAGATAGTGAAGATCAGAAAAGAAGCCAGGAATGTTTGCAGAGCTTCATGTGATGCAGCAAAGTCCACTGGTAAAGAACTCCTGAGACTTACCTGCCTAGTGGAAACAGAATTGTCTCCTGAAAATTGTTACAAAGAAGGTCAACAAGTTCACCGTGTGCAGACAGCCCATTGAACACAATCAGCGTTTTTTGAGAATGGCTGAGTAGAAGAACCCAGCACCCTAAGATAATCACCAGTAAGGGAGTTCTTCCTCTCACTAACTCACCAATGCTACATCAACTTATTAAGTGAGGACTGTTAACCAGACACTGGAGAAACAGCAAAGATGAGGCAACTCCTGTCAAATGACTGTCTCAGTATGTAGGAACCTCTGCATTGAATTCATCTGCTGCTTATTACAGGCCCCAGCCTTGGCCCAGAATCAGAATATCTGCAGTAGAAGTTGGGAATATGCACTTTGTAGAAGCTTTCTCAATGATTCTTGTGCACACTCAAGGTTGAGGACCACTGGTTTGAGAGACAGTGTCAACATATGATAAGTGGATAGACACTCAAGTTCTCAGAACACAAAGCAACAATGCCTAACCCAAACATCTTTTAGTGAAACAGTAGCTATCCAGTTTAAAAAGAAGTGAAGAGAATTTTAAATGAGACTAACATTCAACAGAAGAAAGGCAGACCGTGTGATCCTTACGGAGCAAAGTAGAAGATTAGGAGAAAACCCAACTCTTCATTGGACTTGCAAGTACATTTCTAATTCTCATGCCAAGATCTGATTCCATCCAAAAAATAAAAATAAACTTACCTGATATCAACTCTGCCACGAGCTTCCCTCCAACTTTTGCAAATGCAGATAATAACAGTCTGAGTTCCTAATTTTTGTCTATGTCTCAATGTGGCATCACCAGGAAGCCTATAAATTAGTCAACTGTTTAAAAGTTCAGGCTTAGAAGGAAGGAAAGCTTGGGGGTTATATCCTGGTCTGCCACTGACTGTTAAATCGTCTAACTTCTCTGAACTTTAATATTCTTATCTGCAAAATCAGAAAAATCACCAAGAAATACAAGAAAGCAATGCTGGGTGCCATGACACACCAAGAAATACCATCATAGCTTTGGTATTTCTTCCCAAACTGCAAAACCAGAATCTAATTGGTAGGATGCATCAAAAAATGCAAATTAAAGAATTTCCCATAAAATAGCTGTCCGGTACTCTAGAAAATTATCAGGAGAGATAAAGACTGAAGAATTGTACCAGATTAATGGAGACCAAAGAGACATGACAATAAATATAGTACTGATTCCACTCAGGATATTAGACTATGGAGGAAATAACTATAAAGGACCTATTGCAACAATTGATGACATGTGAATACGGACTGTGAAGCGTGAATTTGATAATACAGCGCTCAATTTCCTAGTTTGTGTACATGTACCATATATTAAGATGATTTATTTCTTAGAAAATACATACTGAATCATTACAGTAAAGGTGCATGGTACACATGTGACCCCCTCAAGTCATTCAGAAAAAGCACAGGTAAAGAGTTCTTTGTAGCCAGCTGTGGTGGTGCACGCCAGTAATCCCAGCAGTTTGGGAGACTGAGGCAGGAGCATTACAAGTTCAAAGTCAGCCTCAGCAACTTAGTGAGGTCCTAAGCAACTCAGTGACACCCTGTCTTTAAGTAAAATATTTTTAAAAAGGGCTGGGTATATGGCTCAGTGGTTAAGTGCCTTGGGTTCAATCCCTAGTACCAAAAAGTAAAAATAGTACATAAATAAATAAAGAGTTCTTTGTACAGTTTTCACAATTTCTCTGTGTTAAAAACCATATAAAAATGGTTACTCCTCAGAACTATCAGACCATGAAGAAAAAAAAAAAGGAAACACTATGAAGCCATCAAAGATTGGAGAAGATCAAGGAAATAGAACAACTAAATACAATGTGGCTATACAATACAATCTTGGATTGTTGGATTGGATCCTAGAACCAAAAACAAAACAAACAAAACAGGAAATTAGTGGAAAAACTTGTAAAATCCAAAAAAAGTATGTGGTTTAGTTAATGTAATGTACCAATATTCATTTCTTAGTTTTGACAATTGTAGCAAGATTGTGTTAAGGTGTTAATGTTAACATTAGGGGAAACTGGGAAAAGGGTATAAGCATAAGAGTATACAATCTTTGCAATTTTCTATAAATCAGAAAATATTGTAAAATTAAAATATTATTTTTTAGAAAAGTACTAAAACACACACACACACATAGCAAAGAACACTACACCAACTCCCAAGTACCAGGGAATATATACATATCAAGAGTTGCTGTGTTAAAGCAGAGATTTGCAAACTCTACCAACTGTGGTTGAGTCAAAACTTAATAGTTCATCAGAACCACTAAATTAAGGTTCTCTTGTGAGGAAGCCATCAAGAACATTTATTGGAACAGGAGCCCCAGGTGGTTCTGATAAGCACCAGGTACTCAGCTCAGCACCTCTCAGACTTAACAATGCACAAAGACACCCCAGAGATCTTGTTAATGTGCACATTCTGGACCAAAGGTCTAGGAAAGTCCTAAGAATGTGCATTTCTAATGAGCTCCCAGGTGATGTTCAAGCATCTGGTCCTCATCCCCAAGTACCAAGAAGGGCAAAGCAAGAAGGCAGAAGGGCCTGGGTACACACTGCCAAGCAAACTCCTGTTAATGCAGAACAACAACATGTGAGACCAACTTCTGGAAGTTACTGTTCTCTTACATTGTAACCAAACCTAATCCTAAATATGTTTAATTGGCACCAAGCATTTCTTAAAGGTAAAATTTAACCAACAACCTTTAAAAAACCACACCTGCTACCTGACAAATGTGTACAAAACTACTATCCATCTCTACTCTAATTGCATAGGTCACTTCTAGAGTCTCTCTCTCTCTCTCTCTCTCTCTCTCACACACACACACACACACACACACACACACACACACACACGCCAGAGATCAATTAAAACAATGTAAGATGCGGATTGAATCCGCACCTTTTGACAAAAATCCCCTAAATATACCCTTTCTTACATTCAAGTTTAAGTTCAACTAACTCTTATATGACCTGTATCATTTAATGATTCCTTTGGATTCACAAGATGCCATATAACCCTGGCATTTATTTTCTTATCTTCAACCAGATAATAAAATCTCATCAGGAAAAAAAGTTGCAAATCATAAATATAAAATCATATCAGAAACATAAAATTAAGAGTTGCTATGGTATCCTTATTTTGAAAATGTAGAAAACCATGTAGAATCCTGTTATTATATGTATTTTGGAATCCATAAATGTATATTAAATCACAACCTTTTTTACTTCAGTCATTTTCTCTAGAATGACTATAGTACAATAAACACAAAATACTCTTCCTTAGACTCTCTCTAATCAAACAGTGAGAACCACACCACTTGACTGTCAAGATCCAAGCTAAAGGATGCTTTGAGAGGTAAAATCATTCTCATAAACCATCATGATATTTTTTCACTCAATAAATATTTACTGAGTATGTATTACATGCCAGACAGTATGCTAGGCACATTGTGAATTCTATACTAGTAATAAAATTACAGTTGGCTGGAATCCAAGACTGAGCCCCTCTATCCTAACTTTATTATAAAGCTGTTAAAATGACAAAGTGCTAATGTACCTGTTGGCTGCTTCTGCAAAATGCAATGAGAAAAATGATTTTAAAATTTAAGTTGTGTGTTGCTTATGTGAAAACAAAGTGCACATATTCATGTATCACTGCAAGGCAGGGCTGGGACAGCCTCCACAGTGTCAACTGCTCAGAGCCCAATCCACAGTCCCTCCCGCCTCTTCTGTGCTTCAGACACAAACCCCGTATTGACACAATTCAAGTAGATGCTGCAAGAATATAAAAACCCCATCCATCGCCACTGCATGTGGTACAGAAATTAAACTACACTGCAACTATTATTGTACATATTTTTCAGCACAGCAACAGAGAGCGAAAAGGGGAAAAAAGGGGCTATCCAAAGTCTATAAACATTCTAGTATAGAAAGGAAACTGAAAATAACCACCCCACTGCCGTGGGCATTACTAACCTGATCGATTTCCATGAGCTTGGGGTAGGCTCCCGGCCATTCTATGGCCACCTTGACGATGTCCGCGGGTGGCGGCATTGTGAACCCCAAGACTGTCCAAAGCCCTTGGAACTGAGGATCCTACAGCGTGGACAGCCACACGTGTGTGTCTACACCTAAGGAGGAATGACAAAAAGAGAAAGAGAAGTCGTTCAATGCAGATGCAGGGCAAATTCTGCTTCATCACTTCCTGTTTTCACTGGTGGTTTAGGTATAAGAAACGGCTCCCCTTGGCGCAGGGTGCTGAAGACACAGGGGGTGCACCACAAGCTCCTGAGGAAAGAAGAAAGATGGGGGGACTGTGCCAACGCCCAGGAGTTAAACTCTCCAGGGGACACTGCCCTGTGGGTCCAACTTGTGCAACTTCTGCATGGGAAGACAGCAGCCCCCTTACCACCAGGTTCTGCTCCCACCAGTGCCCAGGGGCTGAATGGGCAGGGCTTACCCTGTCCAGACACACATGTCAGCGCCTGGCGCTCAGCAGTCTCCGGAAGGACACATTGCCCAGGAAGTCATGGTCAGGAAGCAGCTTTTATTTAAAGCATTTTCTGTGTCACAAATAGATCTCTGCACTATAGCAACCAGGATATCATGAGGAAGGAGCAATGCCCTAAGAGTTCACACACGTACACACACACATTCCCCAAGGCCAGTTCACACAATGTGTCTACAGGGAAAGAAAATGTACAGGAGCGGATAGGACCACATTCAGAAGCGACCTTGAGTTCTCCTTTGAATGAGCGTTGATTACACAAAGGAAGTAACAATCATCCTCTACTGCCTCTCCCCATTTGTTTATTAAACTTAATTTTTTAAGTGGGTAAAACGGCCATGTGATCCTGTGTGTGTGTGTGTGTGTGTGAGAGTGTGTGTGCGCGCATGCATACGAAGATGTACAGAGTAGTCCCCCTTCCCCATGTCACACACTATTCAATATCCACTTATACCCCTTCAAGCCACCCAAAGTAATTTGTTTTTTTTTTATGCTTCTCTCCTGAATGTCTTCATGTATGGAAGACAAACACAAAAATATCCCATTGCATGTTACCCTCTCTTTACATAAAAGATAGCATTGTATCCTCTCCTTCTTTTTCATTTAGCCTATCTTATCAATCTTTGCATGTGACTACAATGGAGCATCCTTAATCTGTACACAGCTACACTGCAGCCAGATGTAGGATGTTTCCTAGCTGGTGAACCAGGTCTCTCTTGTGGGAGTTTAAATGATTTCCTACCTTTGGCTATGATAAACAAGACTGGGATACATTAAGCAAAGCAAACATCATTTTTGCATATGTGAAAGTATATCCTTGCAAAAAAGTCACAGAAGTTAAAACTGCTAGAGCAAAGAGCATATGAAGTTTTACATTTTGAGAGTCATTTTCAAACGTCCCTCACAGAGGTGCCACCAATTTAGATGCTTCCTCCAGCAGCATACGAGATTGCCTGTTCACACATTCCTCCAACGGAGTTTTCACAAGCCTGACAGGTTGAAAAACATCACAGTGTACTTGTAACTTGTATTTTTCTGATTTTGAGTGAGGTTGGATGAAGGGGAAAATGCACATGTTCAAGTTCCTGTGAACTGTTTTTTGCCCTTTTCTGTCAAGTTCTTGGTCTTTTTTTTTTCTTTACTTTTTAAGAAAATGATCTCTTTGTGAAGATTTAAATGAAACGTGTGGCTTTCATTGTTTATCCGACCAGAGTAAGCCTTGTCAGTCTGTCCCAAATCTCAATGGCAGTTGGACATTGCTGCGATGATAGAGATAGCAGAGCTAATAATGGCAGCCTCCACAACATAAATAACCAACTGCAGCAGAGCTGACAAGTCAAGGAAATGAACCAAAACAAACTGCTGCTCCTTTGGCCAAGGATGATCAGGGAGGCCTGCTGTGAAGCTAATCAGTGATGACCAGCGAGGGCAAATCTACAAAGCAGTGGCTGAATCACTCATTCAACAAATAATCATTGAGCCTCTACTCCAAGCCAGGCCTATTCTCCAGGTTAATGATATAGCAGCAAACCTAGGTGTCAGGCAGCAAAAAAGAACATAGCTAAAAATAAAACTTCACTAAGAAGGCAGTACTTGAGTACACACCTATGAGAGATGAGGAAGGGGCCTTGTGGAGAAATCGTGTCCCGGGCATAGGAAACAGCAAGTGCGAGGGCCCTGAGGCAGGAACATACTAGGTAATAGTGAGTTGTTGAAGCCAAGTAAGGGTAAGAGTAGTAAGAGAATGAGTTGGGTCATACCTTGGCAGGCTTATCCCCAGGCCCTTGACCCCTTGGGAGCCCGATGATACCCCTTGGCTTGTGACTTCGAAAGAAGGAAGTTCATGTCCATGCACATCTGTGCAGAGTATAAATTTCCCAGGGGACCTTTACCAAAATGCCGAAAATCTTGCATTCCATTTGAGTAATTTTAATTTTCTAGGCTGTTATCCTCAAGAAACAATTATTAACCTAACCATAACAATACCAACTGCTGCTTTGTTTCTAACTCCCCAAACCTGCAAACAGTTGGATATGTAACAATAGGGACTTGTTAAATAATTACGGTGTCTCATATGTGCAAACACAAGCAGACAATTGGGCTTCCTCTTAATAGTCTGCACTCTGTTTGAATACTTTAGCGTTGGAAAAACAATGCATTCTATCTGTACTATATCACTTCAATTCAGAATCCAAATTCAGCTTCTACACCTTAGAATAAGAGTTAAGAAATCAAGCTCTACTGTGCACCCAGATTCTGTCCCTATCAGGTAACACCATTGGAAACAAAGGGCAAACAGTCCTGGGGGTTAGGTAAATAGGTCATGGAAATAAAAATGCAGATTAAGCACCACCTCCCCCTTCATAAAACACCAAGACTGCACCTGAGGAGGCCATTTAACATTCGAGGAATCAAAGGCCAGGCTTGTTTTCCTGCCCCTTTAACTGGCATTTATTTCTCAAAGACTGTTCAGGGAAAACCTGCTGAACAGGTGAGAATACAATAAGGAGGCTCTCTCAGGTCTCCTAAGAGGCCATGGTGGACAAAGCGGCCATTGAGAGGAGGAGGAAGCAGGGGCTTCCCTGGGGACTCACTCAGCCCTGCCAAGCCAAGCTGACCCTGCGGGCTTCCCCCATGAACAAACAGCAAGGGTGGGGGCAGCAGCATGTCTCCTCTGGGGTGAAGGCAGCTGCCCAACTGCAGACAGAAAAATCCAGTCCACATTTTATCCTCAGGAGTCCACATTTCTGTGCTCTCTAATTTTTATTTCCATGAGGACACAGCAAGCTCTAAAGGCAGACCCTGTTGCTTCTGATGGAATTCTGGGGAGGTTTCCAGCTCTGGCTTTCTCACACTTGGTACAATTAGCAGTTGGGGCCATAATTATTGTTGGGGGCAGGGGGCTGCTCTGTGCATTGTAGGGAGGTGGCAGCATCCCTGGCCTCTACCCATGATTAAAGGTCAACAGCCCTCCTCAGTCACCACATCAAAAAATGTCTCCAGATTGCCAGATGGCCTCTAGGGGACAAAAATATCATCCCTGGTTGAGAGGCTATAAGCTACCAGATCCGCCAGGCAGAGTACTAATGACCAGGGCGAGCCATCCTTGACCTGACAAGAGGCAAAAGGCCTCATTAAGCTCTGCAGGAAGTATCAACACACAGGCCCAAACTCTTTGTTGTCAATAACAGAGATGGAAATGCACTTTTAAATCTTTAGCCAACACATTCACTATCTTGCTGTCCTTTGCTTCCCCCCAGCAGAGCATTTGTGGCACGTGACTCTTGTTGTCAACTTCTCTCCACTGCACTTGGACACTCTGGATGCAAGACCCACATGCAGTTCACAGTTACATATCCAGGGTCAGTCAGGCAGGCATTTTAACACATGGTGGTTGGACAGCGGACGCTGCATCTATTCTGTGATTAACATCTCATTAGAGCTACCAGCGGTTAAACTGAGTCTAGTGTCAAAATCACCCAAGTAGACACCTAGGGTTTTAGTCAGTATTTTTTTCGTTGCTTTGACCAAAAGACCAGACAAGAAGAATTTTAGTTGAGGCTCACGGTTTCAGAGATCTCAGTTCATAGATGGCTGACTCCATTCCTCAGAGCCTGAGGTGAGCTGGGACATCATGGCGAAAGAATGTGGTAGAGGAAAGTGGCTCAGGACACAGCCAGAAGCAGAGAGAGAGAGAGAGAGAGAGAGAGAGAGAGAGAGAGAGCGCTAGCTCTGCTCAACAAGACAAAATGTATACTCCAAAGACACACCCCCCCAGGGACCTACCTCCTCCAGCCATACCCTACCTGCCTACAGTGACCACCCAGTTAATCCCTGTCAGGGGATTAATGCACTAATTAGGTTAAGGCTCTCATAGCCCAATCGGTTCATCTCTAAACCTTCTCACATCCTCTCCCACAGGAGCTTTTGAGGGACACCTCACATCTAAACCATAATACTTTGTATTGTTTGAACTGCCCAATAAGTATAAGCAATACAGATTTGTGTAGACAGCCTGGTACTTGTACACAAACTGAAACTTTTAGATCCACTAAAGGGAGAAGCAAAAGGCGAACTATGCAGCTGACTGGACATTCCAACCACTCAGCCTTCTAATGCTACTATTGAAGCCAGATTTAAAGTTAGGTAGTCAGTGTAGTTAGGTAAATCAGGTCTAATATCCAGTGAAATCTAAAATGGAGGCCATGTTGAGAATGAATTCCCAGAAAAGTTGAGCAACTCTCTCGGAATATTAATGAAGTCCAGGAAACAGCCCCCAACAGATATGAAGATAGCCCATCCCAAAGAAATGTTAATGAACAGCCCCAGCAGATTTGAAGATAGCCCATCCCAAAGAAATGTTAATGAAGAGCAAACTTGAAGATGCTGACTCAGAAGTGCCCAGATTATTTCTTTGGCCCACCTGTGTCCCAACCCTTCTGGGCCTTCCCACCTACATTCCATCACCGAAAACTATAAAATGGAGACACAACCGCACTTCCATGGATTCCATCTCTTGGGTCCCCTTCTTCCTCTGGGAGAAGTCTTTTCTGCTGTCCTTTAATAAACTTCTAATTTTCCACTCTGACCTTGCCTAGGCATGCTTCTCTGGTGTTATTCTTC